CAAAGTGGTCCCAGTGGTGGGAGGAGCACTCAGGGCTGTGACTCCTCAGCTGGGAGAGTGGCTCCAACAGATCCCAGGAACAACATCAGCTCTCTGTCCAGAAGAGTGCAGGGCTAGGAACAGCTAAGATACTGCACAGAATCCTCAAACTCCCAGGCCTCTGGTAGAGGACCCAAGATTGAGGAAGACACAGACCACCCATAGGGGTGAGAGGGGGATTTTTTTTAATATCAAAATTATAGCACCACCAGCCACACTCCCATGACTCTTGCAAGCTATTTTTTCCCGCTAAAGGGACTTCTTCCAGTGGCAAGAGAGAATCCACCCCTAGTTTAGGTCTATAAACAGCAGCACCAGCAAGTACTGTTGTGGGCAATATACAAACTCACCACTCACATTTAGTGCACCATGACAGTCAACAAGCTGCTTGGAATAACATCCCTGCACACTTCCATCCTAAATGCAGAGTTGTCAAGCACCCCAGAGCAGCGTGTGACCAAGGAAGCGAGATGCTCACTGATCAGGTTTAATGCCAGGAAAAGGGAGTTGGGGCAAACTAGGTAAATATAATACTCCAACCTTCACTTATGACTGAGTATATTAGGGTGGGATCTCTGTGAGATGGTGGATCCTCCTTCTTGTGGGCTTCCTAACCAATGGACTGATGCCTCCTAAGAGTTAAGGCTGAAATGTCCACCTGGTCCTGGTCTGCCATGTTCCAAAAGCCCCTTCCCAGATTCAGAAAACACCCTTACAGTAGTTATCAGGAGCGGAGGTGGGGATGTTCGATCAGTGCCTACCTCATTTACGTACATCACCGGGTAAGCCATTGTTCTGATATTCCCTGTTTGGCTAAAATAAGACAAACGTGTAAGTAAAAGCATAGCATTTTCTTGTGATTCTCAAGGGAATTATCCTGCCCCAAGGGAATGTAATGGGGAAGTGACTCATTAGCCTTCGGGGCTCAGAAAACGGAATACAGGTCGTCCTTGTTGAGCGGCCACAATTGGGACCAGCAACTTGGCCGTTAAGCGAACCAATCGCTAAGAGAAACCGCAACTGTGCTTATGATCTTCCTTCAGCTTTCCTTCACTTTACAGACCTGCAAGGTCTGTAATGTCATTGAGAGGATTGGTGGCAAAGTTTCTTTTTCATCACTGTCATAACTGCAAACAGTCACTAAACAAGGCAGTCGCTAAACGAGGACTATCTGTAATCACTCAAAAATGAACCTTTTTGAAATGCAGCCAAGAGGCAAATCTCTTGTTTGTCTCTTTACAGTGAGGCAGTTAACCCCCATCCCACCCCCCAAAGCAATCCCCTTTCAGGCAGGGCTTTCACTCTGAAGGGCCCCCAAGGCCCCCTGAGGTGGGAGATGATGCTATAATATTACCAGAGAGGGTGGAGTTGAGATGTTCAGCCCCATTTTAAATGTATTTTTCCTTGGAGGTGTAAATTAATATAGGGAACCATCTTAAAGTTGCTGAGGCTGAGAAATACTGACCTACATGGCAGCCAAATTTACTGCAGCAGCATCAAACCCCATTTGACAATCTTGTTGACTGACTGATTGATTGATTGATTTTATCCCCCCCTCTTTTTTTTTCATATTAACTGTTTGGTTTGATTTGGTGGCTTGTTCTGCTAAGCTTGTATCATAAAGAGAGATTGTGAAACTAAACAATCACCTATTTCGTAAGCTGACCTTTTTCCTGAATATATTTCTTGCTGTTTAAATTTACAGGTATGTTATTTGCATGTATATGATCACATTTACTTATACCTGTGTTATTTTTCTGTTTCATGAAACGAATGAACATATATTAAAACACAGCCAAGCGCTCCATAAAATACTTACAAAAATTCGGGTAACGTTTCAACAAAAACGTTGATCTGCATTCGTTTGACTGCTTGCACTAATACTCCTGTCAACTGAGAAGGAAAGGGAGTGCGTTTTCATTTCAAAAATGCTTTATTGGTACATATTGTTTCAGCCGTAGTCACCTTACAAATTCAGTCCAAATCTGGTATTCTTACTACTTCCACCATATCGTTGGTGGAACAGCAAACACAATTGATAGTACAGTCCCAGATATTACAATCTGGAGGTGTCAGCCCAACAAGATAGACCAGACTACAAAACCAACGCCATGTAGATGTAATGGGCTGTGAGAATAACCTCGAGGAAGAGGAGGAAGAGCCAGAACCTAGATAACAGACAGATAAAAGAAACCTGAGTCTGGGGCTGAACTGTCACTTGAGAAAACATCTCAGACTTGACCCTCCATAGTTCTCTTTAGGATAAAAGCAGGGAGGGGGAAGGCACATTCAGACTTTTGTTATAATAAAAGTAGTATTAGTATTCATAACTTTGGTTTCCTAGTTTGGTCTATCTCAAAGGCTGACAGTAAGTCAGGACTACTTTTATTGTAACAGCTATAGTAACAGAACCTTCCAAGTCTGAATGTGCTTCTCCCCTCACTGTCTTCATGTGAACTAGGCTGGAGCTTGTCTGAGACATTTTCTCACATTACTTTCTTGGCCAGGGCTCAAGCCCTGCTTATCTGACCATTGCCTTGGTATCAGCTCTTTCTCCTGTCCTTCAAGGCTGTTCCCTGTGCCCTCAACAGTAAGCCCTGCTGTGTTCAGTGGGAAGGAAGGAATTCGAGGCATCTCACACTCAAAATGTTGAATTCAAAACATTTTGCAAATTGCAAGTCTTACGGCCAGTGGAACTAGAGGATAACAGTGCATCCAGGAGCCCTACTGGCAAACCGAAGATATATAAACATGGACTGAATTTTAGATCTATCTCCTTGCCACCAAAACATTTTAGAAAGCAGTTCAATGCCCATTAGCTGGTGCCCAGCAATACTGCCCTAATTAGGGGAAGCATACAATATTTAAATGCAAAAAGTGAGCTCCTCAGAATTGCAGGCTGGCTCACCCCGACTTTCCACAACAGCCAGCTAGGCAACCAGCAAATGGGAACACAACATGTTTGCTGCAACCAGTTTGGTGATCGCTCTGAGCAGGGAAGGCAGGTGTAACTCAAAATCATTCATCTGAGTCATTGGGTATGGACCACTGATCGTTTCTCCAGGCAGGAACATACAACATTGTCCTCTACCCACACCCGGCCACTGGGAAGGCAACGTTCACCCTTTTTTTCCTGCTATACATCAAAAGTAGTGTTTTCCCACTTTGCTGCAATAAGTGTGCCACCTGGTTTGCCCGCTGTGCTTCAAACCCCTCTACTCCAGTTGGCACTGGGGCAGGAATGCTCCCCCACTTCTGGTCACTGCCCTTCACCACCTTTTTTTTACGCATTTATCTGTGAAAAGCTGGCTTTTTTTTTTTTAACAGGTTCACTGATGGAACAGTGAAAAGCTTTTTTTCCCAACCAGATGAACTTGACAAGAGTTCTGTCAAATTCCCCTTCTGGCCCAAAGTAACAAGAAAACCTATAAAAAAAATTTTTTTTTTCCTTTCCCCCGCTACAGGAGGGCTAAAGAAGCAGGAGAATCCACCAATCCGGTGTTAAACATGGTCCAGACAGAATAACAGGCCATTGCTGTGGGCAAAGCAGAGGAAGAGGTTGAAATCCAGAAGTGGATTTCGCAAGGCAGCTTTATTCCCAGCTGAATGCAGAGGAGACAAGCAGTGGAAGGCTGCAATGGGGAAAAGCTCTATTGTATCTTGCATTATTGGCAAGCACACACTCCTTCAGGAGTCAGCCTTTAAATGTAAGGAAGAAACTTTCCCCTGTAGAAATCCTTGGAGCAAATGAAGTGGTCAGGAGGTAGAAATATGCTATGAGGTCCATATTGGGCAAATTCTACTTTTCACTTATGGCAGTCAAGCATCATGGCTTGAAATGGGTTTCCATAAACCATAGCTTATAGTTTAATGTAGTAAATATTCTTAACTATGTTAGGATAGTGGACTGCAACCTGAACATGAGCCAGCAGTGTGATGTGGCTGCAAAAAAGGCAAATGTAATTTCAGAACCATAATTGCCAAATCACAGGAAATATTTTGTTATTCTGCAGGTCCCGCCTCGAGTATGATATCCACTTCTGGGCACCACTCTTTAAGAGGGGTTCAGAAAAATGGAAACTGAATAATATAGAAAAAGAGAAAGGAGAAGATGGGTATGTTTAGCTTTGAAAAAAGACAACTGAGGAGGAAGATGGCTGCATTCTTTAAATACCCAAAAGGATATCACAGAGAAGGCGGCCAGGATTTGTGCTCTCTCATTCCAGAGTACAAGACACAGAATAACGGACTTGAGTTCCAGGAAGATAAATTCCAACTGAGCATTGGAACAACTTCCTAACAGTAAGTGCAGTTTAAGAGGGGAACCAATGCCCCAGAGAGGGGGTGGCTTCCCCTCCATTCGATTTATTCATTTGCCTAGGAAGTTTTAATCTGAATTCCTGCACAGTTCAGGAGGCTGGCCTGACTTTCCAGACCCCGCGGTCCTTTCCAACTCCAGGGTCCCACTGACAGTCATCATGCCTCAGGTGGGTCAGACATTTCGGAAGCCACCGGGACCCGATGCAGAGGAGAGAATTAACAGCCTGGGGAGGACAATCCAGCCCATGAACTCACAACAGGACTGTCAAAACTGACCGCTGACCCACTGATCAGGGTTTTGCATTACACACAAGCCAGGCTGCTCTGCTTCTGATCCCTAGTAAAAGCTTGACTTTGTATTCTGTGCGCACGCAGCCGATGAGATGAATGATTCTGAGGCCAACAGAAATGCAGACTTACTGGGTTAATGTCAAGAAACGTCTCGTGATACTCTTTATTTGGATGCATGCCATCCACGGCCTGGATGTACTTGTCTTCGGACTGGTAGAAGTGGGGGAGCGATAAAAGTATGGGTGCCCCTGGAACAACAGTAATGGTTAAACATGAACCCCGAAGGAGTGGTGAGCCACCAACCGGTTTTAAAATACCTCCCATACATCTGACCAGATTTCAGGATCACTTTTTCAACACATGTTGCAATTCGTGCTATCGTGCTCGTTCATCCATTTGTTAAAAATCAGACAACCGACACTATCAATAATTCTTTAGTCCGAGCTGGCCATTACGGAGCACCATTTTTTCAGCCATCTTGGCTGGAAGCTAAAGAACTTGTGAAGATCTTTGGTGCCTCCGGTTTGTGACCCACTAACCTTGTTTGCAAGCTGTGACATTCAGGATTCCTGAACCCATACAGTTTCCTGCAGGTACACAAAATCCAATGTTGTCTGGATTAACCGAGACATTAGCAAAAATTTTCGGGGGAGGGACAAACCGATAAGTTGGGACTCCCAAAATGGTCACCTCTTTTTCAAAGTTTAGATAGACAGATCTAGGAAAGAGAGAAAGGGCATTAAAAAGTCTGCTTTTGTTAAGACACATAGGTTTGCAGAGAAAGTCCAGGTTCACACATCATATGAAGTTTGTTTTAAGCCACAATGGCTTGAGTGCACACAACACACTAAGCCTTAAATCATGATTTATAACCCACAATGGCTGTGTTAACTGGACACAGTGGATTGGTATGGGGAAGTCTTTTACTGAAGTAGAAAATAGGACACTAGGAGTTCAAGCAGGCCACAAATGATCAGTAATGATCCAATACTGCAAAGCTATTATCCAGTGTTGAAATGAACTTGTCCACCCCAGAATTCCAGGCAGCACGTCCCACCACTCTTACCTACAGAAATCTGAAGAGAAGATATAGATTGTTTCATCTTTGCTGATCAGCGGGTGGAAAGTGCCTCCATCTGTTCCATTTATCATGTTGCTGCTGGGTGTGGTCCACCAGTCTAGCTTGCTGTCACAAGAAGAGATTGGAAGGAATCAAAGATTAGCCTTAAGGCATAAAGAGACATCCTGCTGGATTAGATCAAAAGTCTGTTTCATCCAGGATCTGGTATTTCTCCATGGAAGTGCCTGATCCACTTTCAAAACGATCTTGCCCAACAACTTGTGAAAGCAGTCCGTGATCTAATTATGGACTTTTTAGGACACAGAGAATAAACTTCTGGCAATCCTTAATACAAACCTGCTTAGGGCAAATTCTTTCCCAACCCCCCTTCTTTCCTACTGATGATTATGAGTTTTCCTGAAACCGAACCTGCCAAAAGATAGAGGTGATGTTTCTTCAAGGAATCTCCTGCTTTTTCCTTACTTAATCAGAGGCACTGAAGAAGAAATATTTCTTATCGAGATTGGGGCTGGAGAAGGGAGTTTTAGCCTGTGGATCCTGAACAGCCCTATCCAAAACCTTTCCCACCCAAGCTATTAAGAATGTTGGGGGGGGGTCCACTAGCACCCATGGAGCATTTTGGAATAGGAAGTTCAAAATACTAAAACAAGAATTATAATATGCATTGCCACAGACATAAAAAGATACCAGTGAAGAAGAAAAAAACAAGCATTACTTTTTCCCTTTCCACTCAATTATTCTTGTGAAGTCGAGGTAATTATTTTCTCCACTTAGCATGACATATTCACCATCATCAGTCCCGTTGGCCTAGGGGGGAAAAACACACAAGAAAGGCTTTTACTTTCAGGTGGCTTTTGCAAATGGCTCTGAATTGGAATAAAACAATACACAGGACTTTTTTGATGCCTCTTCCTATTACAAGGAGGAGCCAACATTAATGCATTGAGTCCTCAGCACACAGGCACCAATGTAGAAATACTCTCCTTGCACTGACTTTTTTTTAAAATTAATTTTTGTTCTGAAAAAGGAAGCTCACAGACTGCCAAACACAGAAGCAGCCTAAAGCACAGTCTGGTTTCAGATAGATCCCTTGGACATTTTTAGAACATATAAGGCTGGGGAACTCCAAGCCAGTGGTTTGTTTGAAAGCACTCCCACCCAGGAAGAAAAGGGAAAGAAAGATCACCCTGGGATGCTAGAGGGGGTGACAGGGACCTCCCTCCCTCACATATTTTCTGCTGTGTGTTCTGTGATTGGCCCCTCCCACTATGAAAGCCATTTTTAAGTTCACCCACACCTGCTCTCAACATCCCACATGTATTCTTGTCCAAAGATGCTGAGGAAGACTATCGGATGAAGAGACTACATCGGGATTGTTGTTATTGTTATGTATAGAGTCTTCCAGAAAATTCTGGATAGTTTTGGTGCTTTTGACTACCAGACTCTTTCCAAGGACCTAAGACAGCTAAGGATACCGTCATAATATATGTGCTCTTCCAGGTAACGCAACTTCTTGGAACTGATGAGTTGAGAATCTGTCCATTCCTATTGTGTCCAAGTGCTTTTTCTAGATCTTTTGGTAGGGCACCAAACCCACTGACCACTACTGACACCATTACTACTTTCTTTTTCCACATTTGCTCAATCTCTATTTGAAGGCCTTTATACAATGATGATGATGATGATGATTCTTTAAAGAACAACACAGTACAAAGAACAAACCAACAAAATAAAATCACATCTTTGACGTGTTCTTTGGAAAGTGAAATTTCAGCCAGGAGCCTAGGAATTATCCAAGTAATATCTTAAGGGATAATATATGTCTAGCAAGATGGATTTTTGTAGTTTTGCAGTTCCCATAGCTGAAATACTGAGCCCTTGTAAACATTTATTTAATCTGTTAGTTATTCTACCTAGTGCGCCAATAACTATAGGGACGAAGTTGCAATATTTTTTCCATAATCCACCCATTTTGATTGTTAAAGCTCTACATTTTGTAATTTTTTTCCAATTCTTCTTCCTTGATTCTGCCATCTCTGGATTTAACCACTTCTATAAAAATAACTCTTTTCTTTTCAGTTATTGATTTGGCTGGTGTGATGTTTTCTAGATGCCAATCAGTTTGTATGCAAAAATCCCATAAAAATTTAACATCCTCGTTTTCAACTTTTTCAATTTGTGATTATACCACATTCAGAAAACTCAGAATTATTATTGTTATTATTGCTATTATTATTGCCACCAAGGGTCATAAAAGGAGGCACAGGGATGTTATGAGTTCTCTGGAAGAGCTGGGGTTCAAACCTATTTTTTCTTCCAGTGGGAGATTCTTTTTTAAAAAATTTTTTTATAATTGTCGTAAACCTTCTGGAAGTATAACGCATCTACTTTATTTTGCTTCCCCACAACATATCCTGGGCCAAAAAGAGACTGGCAAGCAAGCTGTCGATTGCCTTCTTCTGCCCTCTAAGGATAATCTATTGAGAAAAAACGACAGTGGCAATCAGCTCTCTGAAAGAGCTGCTGAGATTATGCTCATTTAAAAGAGACAGAGAGCAGCATTGAGATGGTAACAAGTGGAACGTCTAGGAGAGACTGGAGTCTATATGAGCAATGGGCAAACGCAGCATGATTTAATCACAGCCCTGTTTAAAAAGCAGTAGGAGCAGCAATCCTGAAGCAATGTGCATCTGGAGCACTCAAGACTGCCTAGATGCGTATTTCCATATTCTCCAATATAAAAATAGGGTAGGACAGAACCTCAGTGGAAAGCTGAGAAAGGAAAAAACAATGCAAAGCTGCACTGTATACAGGTAGTCCTTGGTTAACTATGGTAATCGGGACAGGAATTTCGGTCACTCAGAGGTGCTTCCCACTGAGAATCTGGTTGACACCCAGAGTTTTCACCATCTGGAACTTTCTGAAATCTCAGTTAGTCCAACGAGCCTAGGATGAACGACAGAAAGCCTGAGTCTGTTCGATTGTATTTGATTCTGAGTCACTGATGTTCTTGTTTGGTTTTACTGTTTTTTAGTTCCTACTACTGGACGTCTGGATTTGTATGCCTCGCTCTCCGCATTTGCGCTTAACTAACGTAAACTGCCAAGAGATTGTTTTGACCAAAACTGGTAGAAATGTGAAAAACACATAAATGATTAGATTTTTTTTCCAGGTTGCCTGCTTCTTTTCTTCATTTCTCCTTTTCAAGAGAGATGACACAGAAGGGGGGAGGGAATAGCAAGTTTGATGAGTTGAATTCCACTTGGCCCCATGTTTTCTTGGCTCAATTTGATGTCTTTTTGAAATGAAAGGACCAAGACAATAGATAGGAAAGGATGTAGCTGGGAATGTGACTATGCGTATTGGAGCAAATCAACATACGAGAGAGGCTGACTCATTTTCAGCCTTGTTCTGGGGGGAGCAGCTGGTGAAGGAATTACATGCATCAAATAAAAGCAAAGACCTGAGGGGAGAGCCAATCTACCCTCGAGAACAACAACTTTACCTTTTTTAAATAACCAAAGACTGGATCGACGGTGGGGAAAAATTTGTGTACCATCTGGAGAAATTTGTCTGTGTATCCCCATAAAAGCTCTTGAACTGTGTGCATGGCGAACAGGTTTTCGTGGTAGATCGTGAGCAATACTTCTGCAGGAAGACGGAAAGGAGTGGTTCTGACTAAATTCATGGCCACCTGACATGAAGAAAAAAAACAGATGAAGAGGTTAAGATTTTTTTTTTAATATTATTTATTTCATTGTCAAAACCCGTAGGCTATAACAACAGGCGTTTATCGGTTATTTATCAAATATACAATAAAAACAGAAAAATATAATTGACAGGCAGAATTCAGGTTATAAGGGTTAAAAAAGTACTCATTACCATAGTTTAAAAAGTTGCAATTAAAACCAAGAGAAGCTAGCTTTACAAATGGAGTGAAGATATGGATGTCGCTGAGCTGTATCATGGACAAAAGACCAGACAAATGGTGGTCTTCTGAGTTTTCAATACATATTCAATTTTATAGTGATCTGGCTTTTATTGGAAGGAGAAGATCCAAGTATTTGGATCTAGGAAGACATTCCTGCCCCAACCCTGAGCCCTATCTCTTCCACATGGCAATAGATCTCAGAGTATAGCTCTTTTCTTAGATGAAGATGGGAGAAGCTAAAATCTTCTGCATGCAGGGTGTCTGTTA